CGCACACTCACCGGACCTGGGCTAGGACTGGGTCTGGGGGCTCCCGGAACTCGGCAGAAAATCCTACTCGGCGGGCGGGGTGGGGGAGGCACTCACCTTCACTGGTTCTAAGATGCATTTAAAAAGATTTTAGTTTTTGGACTGGGACTGAGGATTGCACCAAAGCCTTTCACCTTAAACCACATCCTGTGGGGACTCGTCAGTGCCTCAGGTAACCCTGGTGAGAAGCAGCAGCAGGAATGAGGAAAAGATAGGCCAGAAGACAAGAGCTGGGTCAGGTGGAGGCCTGTTTGCCTGACTGGCAAAGGATCCCAAGAATAATAATAGAAGCATTTATTTATAGCATTACAAAGTTGGTACCACAAGACACAAGGTTGCCTAGTGACTCACAGCCAAAATTGTCCAGGCAGGACGCTTTTCTCAAGACTGAGGCAGCTTGACTGCTGTAGGCATCAAGGCCTTGTCCTGCCCTCACACCTATGATTAATTTCCAGCTTCAGCGGCTCCCAACAACAACACAGCTTTTCCTTTTTTTTTTTGAGACAAGATCTCCCTATGTAGTTCAGGCTGCCATTGAGCTTACTACGTATGTAGCCCATGATTGCCTGTGAAATGCTCAGCGATCCTCCTGCCTCAGCCTCTCCAGTGCTGGAATTACAGGCATCTGCCATCACGCCCGATATACCCTTCCTTTTATTGAGGCCAGGTGTCTGGTTCAGTTGCTCACACTGGACTCAAACGTGCGGTCTTCTTATTCAGCCTCCCAGAAAAGTGCACCCTTTTCTGTACACTTTAAAAATGCTAAAATCAAGAAGTCACGGTTGATGTTATCTTAACATTGCTATCAGCCAGGAAGCCACTGGGGTCGTGAGGTCACTCCTTGGATGTGACAGTGGAGTTGGATTCAGGCCCCTGCCCTGTGGGGGACAAGGCAGTGTGGAAAGTGCCCACGTAAATAGTTCTGAGTCAGAGGACTCCCAGGAGCCCCAGGGCCTGCTGGGCCCATTTATTTCTCTCTCTAGACACAGCAGACTGATGTAAGATAAGGCCCTGTGTTTTCTGAATAAGTTTACTGAGTGCTCTTTCAATAAGTGTCAAATAAAAATCTGAAGTGATAAGGAAAAACTGGGCCATCGTTCTATCGATAGCATTCTTTTTCTTTGTTATCAACATCAGGAAAGCTGTGCCTGGCACCCGGTAACTTTGGTTGTGTGCCGAAGGGGAAGAAGGAATGAATACAGAAATGTGCCCCTCATCTGTCTCTGTCCCCTCTCCACCGGTCGGGGCTTTGTGTTGCTTTGCTTTGTTTTCAGTGCTGGGGATGTAACACAGGACTCCCTGCGTGCCGAACATGTGGCCTACCCCTGGGCTGCGCTGCAATCCCAACTCCTGGGTTTTACGTCCTGCTCAGAAGACAGAAGAACCAAGTTATAATCCCTGATAAATGGGTTACTGTGACACATGTGCTTTAAAAAAAATAATTTTGATTTTTTGAGACAAGGTCTCACTATGTAGTTCAGGCTAGCCCTGAACTCACTACGTAGCCCAGGCTGGTCTCAACCCACAGCGCAGCCTGGTGCGCTGCTCCAGCAGTGCCCGGTAAGCCTCAGGAAGCATATGTGCTTGTATCAGCCTGCCCTGCTGTGTAACTGATGCGGCGGCCTGAGTTCTTATGCATGAGTCTTTTTTTTTTTTTCCTTTTTCTTTTTTGGCGGAACTGGGGAGTGAACTCAGGCCCAAGAAGCGCTTATTCTACTGAGCCATCTCCCCAGCCCCCAAAATGAGTCATATTTTGAAGCAGTACAGGTTCTGGCCTTAGGTCAGCAGTGAACACATGTTTGTAGAATGAACAAATAACTGAATGGATTACTGGACAACTGCATGTCCACTCTCTGCTCGTGGCCTCTGGCTGGCCTGCTTCCTTAGCTGGAGGCTCTGGCTCACTCCTACCCTACGGGCTCACCCTGCAGACTGTAGTTCCCATGCCTCATCCTCCAGGAAGCCACCCCTGAGGTCAAGCTTCTTCTCTGTGCTCCCAGGTCCTGTGTGGAGGCCCCTCAGCCCAGTTGGCCACCTCTAAGTATCGTTATCTTAAGATGGAGCTGATATGCTCACTGAATGCTGAGGCCCTGGGAACAGAGTCGGGTGCTGTCTTGGCCTTTGCTGTGGTCGCAGCACCCCACCCAGGATGGGCCTAAGAGCTGTGGACTGGCTGATGGGTGGAGAGCGAAGAGGAGGCTTGGCAGGCGGTGGGTGTGCGGCCTCTCTGGCCGGCTGTTCTCAGCTTGTTGCTCTCAGGCGCCTTAGATGTAAGAGCGCAAGTACAAGCGCCCTGCTGCTCTCTGGGCCCGGCCTGTAGTCTCCAGATCAGTCCCTGGGGTTGCCTTACCTCAGAGATGGAGACTGAACTAATGGGGTTTGTGAGTGGATGTGCGGGTTCTGGGGATATAGGCTGCGTGCGTGGTCTGTGCAACCGTATTTCTCAAGGTCTGTGAGTCCGAGTGTCTCAATGTGTGTGTGTTTCTGAGGCTCACGTAGCCACGTATTCAATGATTCAGTATTTGGGGGACTTTCCCTCTCTGGACCATGTGCGTGTGGGTAAATTTGGGGAAGGAGGCTAGAGTGTGTTTGGCACCTGGGAAGGTCCGGTCTTTCTGTACTGGGGCCGGTGGTTGGGGACTTGCCTGGGCCTGTGTAGCTTACGGTCTGCATTAGCCCTTCCTGCACCTCAGGGCTTGTCACCCTTGCCCCAGTTTAAACCAGTCTACTGCACAGGAAGGATTTTTAAAAAATCAAAGAATAGGAGAGAAGGGCAGGCATGGTGGTACATACCTGCAATTCCAGCACTCAGGAGGCTGAGGCAGGAGGATCACTGCAAGTTTGTGACCATCTCGAGATACTGGTGAGTTCAAGGCCAGCCTGAACTGCATCAATAGACCCTGTCTCAAAAAACACAACAGAATGACAGGGGATCTTTCTCAAATGTGAAGGGAATCGAGATAGAGGTAAGACTTAAGGTTTTCTTATTTTGTAGTGAGTATAGAATAAACGGATAAGAATATCAAATATGATTATACTCATTTATATTAAATACATATTAAAATTAGCACAAATAGAAAATTCTACTTTGAGTATATTATTTGTTAAAGAAATATTACTTCTTGTGGTAATTTTTATGTATTATTTCATATGCTGGTAAAATTCAAAACGACTTTTCACTTCAGAGATTTTCTATCTTCAGTTCCGGGTGGATGGGCTGACTAGGAAAGGGCTAGTAGCCCACACATCAGATTTCTTTTCTCATCAGAGGCCTTAATTGAAATTTTATAAATAAATGGCATTTTTTATTTTTAAACTTTTCTATAGGTTTTTAGGAAAGTATCCCTTAATTAAATGGCATATTCATTCAAATAGTTTTTATCCCCAAGGAAGAATTTAAAAAAATAAGCTACACATTTGAGATTAAGTTGGAGGAAATTCATTGAGGCAGCTCTGTTACAAAAAGCATTTGATAAATGATTATTTTTGTAAAACAGTAAGTTAATTTATTCTTGGTCTTCTTAGATAAATTTTAAGGTCTTGGGTGTTGAAAGACATTAACTTTTTTTTTTTCAGTTTCTGATAATTTTTATTTATTTATTTATTTTTTTAATGGAACTTAGCATAGTTTTTATTTTGGAACAATTCAAGGTCTACATGAAATTGCAAATTGGAACAATTTGAGATTTACACAGAGTGCCATACAACACACCTAATTTCCTATTGGTTGATTTACCATTAGTTTGTCAAAATTAAGAAACTGACATTTGTACATTAGTGTTAAAATTTCCAAATGCTACTTAAATTTCACCTGTCTTTCCACTAAGGTCCTTTTTATGGTTCAGAGTTTAATCCAGGGCCCTACACTACTTCCCCTTGTCATGTCTCCTTGGCCTCCTTTGTTGCAATTTCTGCTTTTCCTTGTCTAACTTTGTTTTTAGGACAGTTATGCACCCCATTGTTTTGTTTTATGGAACTTTACATTTATGTCTGAGAGTATGTACTGGCATAGGAACCTATTTTATCAATAAAGATGAATGGTTAAAACTGGAAAAAAAAAGAGATAGAGGGAATGGAGGGAAAAGGAATGAAAAAAGGAATTAGGATGTGTTATACGCATGCACTACCTCCACACAAGGGCTGTAAACATTATATACTGCAAACATGTACTAAAAATATATGAGGAGCGCGGCTGCAGCGTTGCGGGGTCACAGCGGGCGGTGAAGCGGCGGAGAGGAGGCAGAGTTGGCTGAGACTACGACTGGAGGCAAAGCTGGGAAGGACAGTGGCAAAGCCAAAGCCAAGGCCGTGTCGCGCTCACAGAAAGCTGGGCTGCAGTTTCCTGGGGGCCGCATCCACAGACATCTGAAGACACGCACCACCAGCCACGGAGGGGCGGGTACCTCTGCCGCCGTCTACAGTGCTGCAATCCTGGAGCACCTCACTGCCGCGGTGCTGGAGCTGGCGGGGACGGAGTCCAAGGATCTCAGAGTCAAGTGCATCACTCCACGTCACTGGTAACTTACCATCCTTGGAGATGAAGAGGTGGATTCTCTCATCAAGGTGACTATAGCTGGCGGTGGTGTGACTCCTCACATCCACAAATCTCTGATTGGGAAGGAGGGACAGCAGAAAACCGCTTAGGGTTGTCACCCACCCTCCACTGCCCTGTCCTTGTACTGTCACCTGGACAGAAGACATCAGTGGGGACACTTGACATTTTTAAAAGCAGTTAAAGGAAATGCATAGACAATGCCGTAGACATAAACAAACACTGGTCTGTTCTTAGACACCAAGTTTGATAAAGTACTTTTCATGTGATTACAGTTGTGTGGTGCTTGGCTAGGTTTCTCCCATGTATTTTATACTAAAATGGAGTAGATAAACCATTTTTTACAAAATAAAAAAATAATCTGAGCTATATGAATTGGAGGAGAGGCACCAAGTTGGCGGAGTTGTGAGCAGCAGAGAAAGAACCTCTCTGAGTGTCGCTGTCCAGGAATATAGCGATGTGAGGGAAACAAGGATGGAATGGGCCCCCTGCACCCAGGAAGAATCTGAATTGAAGGTTGAGAATTGAAGCCCACAGAGAGCGTGAAGGGAGAAACTTCAATAAAGAAGAAGGAGGTAGCCGTAGCCGCCATTACCTTCTCCCTGAGAGAGAACTCACTGTGTGAGAGGAGTGATTCAAACCTGAAGACACTCAATGACTGCTGGTGACCCCAGAGGCCTCCATGCAGAGACTCAGCCCATGGGAAGGACTGCACTAGCTGGTGCTGAGTGCTGAGTGCTCAGCCTACCCTGTGAGAGAATGACTAACCAGCTGCCATCTTGGAGAGGAGCCAGCTGGGCTCAGAGCTCAAAGCTACTGCTGGCTCCCTCTAGCGGCTCCCTGCTGGGCTCAGGCCCGCAGAAGGTGTGCTGACAGCTGCAGGCCGAACGAGTCTGTCTCAGCCAGAAGGTGCAGGCTCGCTGAGGTTACCCACCACGCTGCCAAAATGCTACTGCTGGCTTGCTGGGATAAATCAACAGGGATCGGGACTCTGTCTCCCCATGTTGTCTACCAGTGACAGCAGAGACAAACCTGGGAGTGGGCTCTTTTTTTGTTTTGTTTTGTTTTCTTCTTCATTGTTTGATCTCATTTTAATATGAGTTTGGACATAGTTTCTAGCATCCTTGTTGTTGTTCTATTTTGTTCTTCTATTATCTCTTCTTTCTCTCTTTCCCTTCAGTCTACTGGACCAGTTTCCCAAAATTAGAGTGAACCTGCTTTGTCAGCTACCCTTACTTCGAATCTCTTCCTCTTCTACCTTTCTATTTCTTCCCTAACCCCTTTTAATTTTTAACCCCTGAGGGTAAAATTGACCTATTATGAACTTATATGCTGCATATAGTTTTCTCATCTGTTTTAGATGTTGTTATATAACTACAGAGCTAGTTCTTATGGTTAAAGGTGGCAAATTAATGGTTTCTTAGTTACTCTTCTCTCAGTCCTGGGACAAATACCCGACACTCAAAATCAAGGAAGGAAAGGTTTATTTAGCTCACAGATACTGGAGGTTTCAGTCTATACTCAGCTGGCTCCAAGGCAGAGCAGCACATGGCAGCGGGCAACCTTTCAAGGCAGTGGCAAAGAGCAAGAGCAAAAGGAGAGGTAGCAGCAGCTCAAGCAGCTAGCTTCTCTTCCCATCTTACATTGTAATTCAAATTACCTGCCCCAGGGTGGGTGCAGCATCTATACCAATAATAATCAATTATAAACTCCAGAAGCTGCCCCAAGACTACATGAGGCTTTGGGGGGACAGCTAGACACCAACCATAAATTCCACCCCTGGACCCCCAAGACTCATGCATATCCTTTTATGCAAAGACATTCTAGTCCATCTCTATGTTGCCAAAGTCCCAACAGTTCCAGCATTGCTGAAAAATCCAAGTCCCAAGTCTCCTCCAAGATCCAAGACAAACTCTTAACTGTGATCCCCTGTACAAATGAAAACTTAAACACTTGCAACATTCAAAGGCACAAGATAAACATTACCGTTCCAAAAGGTACACACAGCAGGATGCCAAACATTGGGACCAACACAAGTCCAAAAACCAGCAGGGCAGACATTAAGTCTAGCAGTTCCATGTGGAACAGCCAAAGCAATCTGTGATGAGTTGTGAGCTCCAAAGGCCTTACATGGCTCTGACCCTAAGGCACTCGTGGTAGCTCCCATGGCATCTCTCTTAGGCTGGCTTTGTTTCCTCCTTGCAGTTTCCCTTAGATGATCCACATTCCTGGCTTTTCAAAACTTCTGAGGTTTCCACTGAATAGGCTTCTCACTCACAGCTTCACACACTGCCCTCTTGGGGGCACACTGCCTGGCCTCCCAGGCCTTCTTCTGAAATCGAGGTGGAAGCCTTTTTAACCTCAGAACTCCTTCATTCTGAATACGCCTAAAACCATTGCCACGTGGATGATGCCAATGTCTGTGGCCAGCTGGAGCAGTAATCAGGCCTTCCTCTCTCTTGGCTGTAGGGGTTGAGTGCTTGGATGGCTGAGCCCTCTGACCGTGATTTGGAGGAATAATTTCTCCATGCCGGTGCCATTCTGGAACCTGGTGTGGCCACTGCTTCCATTCTGGAACAAGGGGCTCTGCGATTTTCCCCCAAAAGGCAAAGTCCCTGACTTTGCAGTTCTGAGGCTGCAAAAGGTGGAGACCCGCCTCCTCCTGTGATGCCCTCAGGCCGCCCTTTCCATTCTCAGGTTCCTTCCCGGCAATGGAGATTCTCTCGGCTCCACCTTTGCAGTCCACAGCTTTATTGGAGCTTCCTTTCTGGGCAAACTCACAACATATTGGCCCATCCTGCTGGGCTGCTTGCTCTTCATTCTCAACATAAATCTGGCTTACAGCCTCTAACAACAACCAGGCCACTGCCCTAATATTTGGCTGCTTTGAAATATCTTTTTCCAGATTGATCAGTCCACCATGCTTAAACTCAGTCTCAGGCAAAGTCTCTAGACACATTGTGTGCAAAATGCAGACAACTTTTCTGCCAAGTCAAAACACAAATGATCTGGAGCCCAACAGCCAATGCAGTCCTTCTTCCCAGCAGAAGCCTCCCCAGGCTGGCTTTCTATCAGCATTCTGGTCTTCTGAGCTCTGATCAGAATCTCCCCTACAGAAAAGCCGAAGATGTTCCAGCTCTTTACAAGTGGGCAACATCTCCGAACCTTTCCTATCTCTTCCCATAAGCCATTCCCAAAAGCTTGTAATCCACATGAGCCACAGCAACGGCCCCACTCCTGGTACCAAATTCTGTCTTAGTTACTCTTCTCTCATTGGTGGAACAAATATCCGACACCCAAAATGAAGGAAGGAAAGGTTTATTTAGCTCACAGATACTGGAGGTTTCAGTCCATACTCAGCTGGCTCCAAGGCAGAGCAACACATGGCAGAGGGCAACCTTTCAAGGTGGCTGCAAAGAGCAAGCATGCAAAGGGAGGAGTAGCAGCAGCTCAAGCAGCTGGCTTCTCTTCCCACCTTACACTGTAATGCAAATTACCTGCCCCAGGGCAAATTCAGCATCCACACCCACAATAATCAATCACAAACTCCAGAAGCTGCCCCAAGACTGCATGAGGCTTTGGGGGGACACCTAGACACAAACCGTAACAAATGGTTACTTCAGTTTGTCATTTTCTAGGCTGTGATTGTTGCTACTGTAATGCTGAAAGTATCACTTTGGCCAAGAGTGACAAGTATTCTAAACAGCTGTTCTTCCTGCTATTCCAAGACTGAGATTGACTAAGGGTCACAGAAAACACTGTGCCACAGTGCCAAAGAACCAGGGGTTGGGCCAAACAGGTGGCAACATCTCATTCCCCAACAAATCAAAGACATGGAATCTTGTAACAGACTCAAATACCAAATACCCGTTACACCTGGAAGATATGTCACATGAGGCAATTTACAAACATCACCCAAGAATTAAACCAAAAAAAAAAAAAAAAAAAAGAAAGAAAATGAGAAGACACTTAAACAAGATTCAACCCCAGACATCATTCACCAAAGACAAACTCAGGAGGCAATATGGTAGGGCAATCCAAAAGCCACTCATTCAGCCTCTTTAAAGTGGTAACAGCAAAGCAATTAAATGAGGTTCTAGAAAAACTCAAGTCAGAATTTTTTTTCAGATAACTGCAGAGATGATGCCCACAATGAAAACTGTGCTTAGTAACTCTAGAGAATATACAAGCAAAAACAGAGTAGTTGAAGAAAATTTTGGAAGCTACAAATGCTTAACATAGGAAAGAAATGGAATCCATAAGGCAGATTCAAGCAGATATCCAGGAGAAGAGACATTCCACCAAAAGTATCCAGAGCAGAATAAGCCAATATGAGGGTAGGATCTTGAGTATAGAAGACATTTGTGGTTAATGATCATGGAAAGAAAAGTTCTTTACTTTTAAAATTTATTTATTTAATTTATTTATTTATTTATTTATTTTTGCAGTACTGGGGATCAAACTTGGGACCTTGTGCTTGCCAGGCAGGTGCTTATGCTACTGAGTTAACTTCCTGGCAAAGAACGATTCTTTAAAAATGGCAATGGACCATGAGAAATCAATCCAGGGGGTATTAGATGAGGTAAAGAATAATTTAAAATTAGTTGGAGTCTATGAAAAAGTAGAAGATGGCACAAGTGAGATACACACACACACACACACACACACACACACTGTTCACAGACATCCTTTCTCTGGTACAGAAAATACTTGACACACAAATAAATGAGGCATATAGAACTCTAATTAGCTGCAATCAAAAAATAATCTGCAGCTAGGTATACCCATAATCAAGATTCCAGAAATTCAACGCAAGAATTGGAATCTTAAAAGCTCTTAGGAGAAAGGAAACCATCTATAAAGGAAAGCCCATAAGAATCATAATTGGCTTCTCAGAACAAACTCTCAAATCAAGGAGAGCTTGGAGTGAAGTATTCTGAGTTTTAAAAGAAAAAAGCTTCCAGATTGATGCACCCCATAAAACTATCTTTCAAAACCAATAGAGAGGGCCTGAGATATAGCTCAATGGCACAGTACCCACCCGGCAAGCACAAGGTCCTGAGTTTGATTCCTGGTACCAAAAATAAATAAA